GAAAAATGAAGATTCCACGTTTGCTTCGATAAATAAAAAATATAGAAAGACAGCAATAAAAAACAGCTAGAAGCAATATAATTTATTAATTCACAAATATTTCAAACACTCCTGTGTTCCTCCTGATAATGTTTATGTTTATCTGACCCTAGGTCAGAGTTTTATTCACGTGATCCATTTTGGCAGGCCGGCACTCGACTGTCATGGTCTCGGTGCGTGAAAGTGAATAAATAGTTGAGCAACAGTTTTTCATATGATCTCTTTATTTGTTATCTGTCATTGGTAGCAGAGCGAGATGGAAAATTTCCACAATCCTTCGAAACTCCAAAATAACAATTACGATAGTTGGAAGAGAGATTTAGAGCTATGGAGTCGAGTCACGAAAATGGCGAAGAACAGACAGGCCCTGGCAGTGTGCTTGATGCTGGACGGAAAGTACAAGCAGGCGAGTGAGGAGCTCAGTATAGAGAAGCTGAATGTAGACGGTGGGCTAAAAATCCCAACGGACAAGTTAGACAGCATCTTTCAGAAAGAGGTGAAAACTCGTACGTATGATGCATATTTGAGTTTTGAAAACATAGAGAGGAAGACTGGCAGCATAAATGTGTTCGACTCAGCATATGCAAAAGTAAAGACTTTAAACATGGATTTGCCTGAACCAGTCCTAGCTTTAAGGCTATTGGAAAGAGCAAGAATACATGAGAACCAACGCCAACTATCATTGTCTGCATGTACGGATTTAAATTTTGCTGAAATGAAAGGTGTTTTGGCCCGTATCTTTGGAGGTACTGACTTGCCACTGGCTATGAAGCATAAGGACGCAATTAAACTTAAGAAAGAAAAAGTTATGTTTGAGTCGTTTCGTCGACCTATGTACAATAATAGCTATAGGCCTAAGCCAAAATACCGTGAAGATGACAAACCAGTCAGGAAACAGAATCCCCTAAATAGATTTGGAAAAGCAACTTGTTGCAGAGTACGCCAGTCTATAATGCATTATGAAAGACATTGTCCACATAATGAAGAATGCATAATGACAGAACAACAAGGAGCAAGCTATGGTGAGTTGGATGTTTCGATATCACTATTGCTCGAAAGTGCTTTTCACAGAAACTGCCACATGTGCAATTTTGGACACTGCATGCACAAAAACAGTATGTGGAAAACAGAGCCTGGATAATTTTTCTGCCTTGGGTGGAAACATTTTGTCTTCTCAAATTAGTAAACAACCGTTCAAATTTGGGTATGGTTCCAAAGTAACATCAACACAGAAGGTTGTGATAACTACAAAACTTGGTTCAAATAAATGTACTATTGAGATAGAGGTAATACCTGTAGAGATATCACTGCTTCTTGGTAAAAGTGCACTCAAAAAAGCAGGTTGTAAAATTAATTTAATTGATGATGTTGTTGAACATTTTTTGGTGATAATATTGCACTGAAACTTACTCCAGCAGGACACTATTGTGTTGATGTGCAAGACTCTAATGCTGAAGATATTTTTGAAGTTTACACAAGCACAGTTTTTGACAATTGTAGTGTAAAAGACAGAATGTAGAAGCTTCAGAAGTTACATTTTCAGTTTGGACATGCTTCCACAAATAAGTTAACTCAATTGCTGAAATCAGCTGGGATTAATAATAAAAGAATATTTACAGTTTTGCAGGAAGTGATCGAGAACTGTAAGATTTGTAAGAAGCTAAAAAGAACACAACCAAAACCAGCAGTTGGATTGTCACGGGCAAGGGACTTCAATGAAACAGTTGCTGTTGACCTACATCAGTTAGATAAAAGTTTATTGTATTTACATATTATTGATAACTATAGTAGGTTCAGTGCAGGTTGTATTGTTAATAATAATGAACCTAAAACATTTGTTAACATGTTTTTAAAGCACTGGATAGATATTCATGGAGCTCCTAAGAGAATGATGAGCGATAATGGGGGTGAATTTGACAACTTGTTGGTTAAGGACATGGGAGAAAATTTTAATATTGAGATTGTAACTACTGCTTCTTATAGCCCTTATTCTAATGGTATCTGTGAGAAACATAATGGTGTATTAACTGAGATACTAATGAAACTTAAAAAAAATCATAATTATGACTTGGAAACCTCATTGTTATGGGTCATAAATGCTAAAAAATGTCTCCATAATGTGTATGGGTTTAGCCCATTCCAAATTGCCATGGGAAGAAATCCTGATTTACCATCAGTGTTAAATGACAAGTTGCAAGCCCTTGAGGGTCAGAGTGTATGTGTACAGGTTGCCAAACATATTAATGTCATGTATAATGCTAGAAAAGAATTTCTTAATACTGAAAGCTCGGAAAAGTATAGGAGAGCTTTAAGGAAACAAACTCGTAGTTTTGAAGATAAATATGAACAAGGTGATAAAGTATATTATAAACGACCCAATGGTATGGAGTGGAAGGGTCCAGTTACTGTTATTGGTAAAGATAGTTCTATTGTGTTTATAAGACATGGAGGTTCAGTGATCAAAGTACATAAATGTAGAATACAGAAGGGAAATCAAAATAAAGTAGTTGATGAAACTAATAATAATTTTGATTCTAATGTACAGCTGAAGAGTAAAGAAAATGAACCGCCAAATATTGTACATGATAATAGTTCAGACTCAATTGGGCATTAAAAAAAGTGATACAATAATACTTGTAATGAGGCAAATGATAACCATAATGGTTATAATGAAAATAAACATACTTGTACTAGGCAATCATCTAGAATTTATAAACAACCTAGTTGGCCTAATGAAAATATTACTGATGATTATGATGAGGAAACAGTAATGCATACAGAAACTATTAATGTTGTTAAAGCTAAACTGAAAAAAATAAAAAGTTAGAAGAACAATAATGTATATATGGAGGTAGATAACCATGGTCAGAAGTGCATAACCACCAGGTGGGTGTGCACACTTAAATCGGATGATAATGGTGATATTATATCTAAAGCTAGATTGGTTGCGAGAGGGTTTGAAGAGTTCATACCTGACATTGATAAAGATTCTCCAACATGTGCTCACGAATCCTTAAGATTATTTTTGGCAGTATTAGCTCAAAATAATTGGAAATTCAACTCTTTGGACATAAACACGACATTCTTACAGGGTGAATCTATTGACCGAGATTTGTAAATTAAGCCACCTAATGAAGCTGGAGTATCTCCAACAAAAATTTGGAAGCTCAACAAGTGTGTTTATGGTCTAAATGATGCATCCTTACATTGGTATAAAAGAGTGAAATCATTTAAGATTGAATCTGGAGCAAGGATTTCTAAAGTTGATCCTGCTGTGTTTTACTGGATAAATGATAATCAACAAGTTTATGGAATTTTGGCCTGTCATGTAGATGACTTTATCTGGGGTGGTAATAACAAATTTGGAGAAATAATAATTGCAAAAATTAAATCAGTTTTTAAGGTGGGTAAAGAAAGAAATGATGCATTTAAGTATTGTGGCATTGAACTTAAGGAGATTAATAATATCATTCATCTTGGTCAAAGTTCATACACCGAATCCATAAATCCTATCTTGATTAGTGGTAATAGAGCATGTGAAAAGGATTCACTTTTGTCAGAAACAGAAAAGTATATTTTAAGATCTAAGTTGGGACAATTATTATGGTTATCGCATCAAAGTCGACCAGATATTTTATTTGATGTCACAAAAGTTGCTAACAATGTTAACAATTTTACTGTTGATATTTGGGAAGTTAATAAGATAATTTGGAAGGCTAAGGCAACTAAATTGACTCTTAAATATCAAAACCTTGGTGATAGTGAAAAAGGTTTACAAATGATCATGTTTAGTGATGCTGCTTTGGGTAATATGCCGAATGGTGGTAGTCAAGAGGTGGTTTTATAATCTTCCTGGTGGGTGAAGCCGGAAAAATTTCACATTTATGGTGGAATTCAAAAAAGATAAGACGAGTAGTAGGCTGCTGAAACACTGGCAATGGCTGATGGAATTGATAGTTGCATTTTCTTATGTACATTATTGGGGGAATTGCTATATGGTAAACCCGATCCGACTACTATCCGATAACATGCTATACTGATTGTAAGTCCTTAATGGATGCTATTAGGTCTGAGAAAAGTGTCACTGAAAAAAGATTAAGGTTAGATATGAGTGGTATAAAGGAGTTAATTGAGGCTAAGCAGATAACATCTGTTCAATAGTGTGACTCTAAATCACAAATAGCAGATTGTTTGACCAAGAAAGGCGCTTCTAATGAGAAAAGTTCTTGATAATGGTTTATTACTTTAAAACAAAAAATAGTTGAATTTGATAATGTTTATGTTTATCTGACCCGAGGTCAGAGTTTTATTCACGTGATCCTTTTTGGCGGGCCGGCACTCGACGGTCATGGTCTCGGTGCGTGAAAGTAAATAAATAGTTGAATAACAGTTTTTTTCATATGATCTCTTTATTTGTTATCTGTCACTTCCTCAGTGTGAGGACAACTGACAAAAAATACAAAGTAAAGCAACATTCACACACGAAACGAAAAAAGGACATCGAATCAGCGGTAAAGAACAAAGGCGCGTAAAAAGATGCGCATATATATATTATATATATATACATATATATATATATATACATATATATACATATATATACATATAAATATATATACATATATATATAATATATATATGCGAGCGCAATATAGTAAAAACACCATGAAACATTTAATTATACAAACAATTGTCTTTAATCTTGAACCTGATCGCGGGCTCAATCGTTTAACGAAAATACAATTTTCATGATAAGTGCAAACAAACATTTTGCCAGAGGGATTAGAGCACGTGTATGTAAATGTAGTGACTATGACAACAGACTGTATGATAACAGACTATGTCATTAGAAACATATCACACATCCGAAAATATATCGATGAACCTACCTGTCACCATGTGATCAGGTCTGTTGTCATTACACGACTTGATTGTGCTAATTCACTTTTGTACAGTTTATCAGCTAAAGATACCCGACGTCTACAACCACTTCAGAAAAGGGCTCCCAAAATTATTATTTCAAGTCCGTACATTGGAACATGTCACACATTTTTTCCAACAACTCCATCGGTTTACTGTTTCTGACGGTCTCAAATTCAAAGTTCTTCTCATTTACCTTTAAATGTCTACATGCCTTAGCTCCGTCTTATCTTCAAGACCTTATTTTTATTTATCAGCCAAGTCGTCGTCTTTGTTCTTCTTCTGACCAGATTGTACTCAGTCTCAAAGACAAATTTGGCTAATTCTACTTCTCACAAGGCTTTCTATGCTGCTGCACCATCCTTATGGAACGAGCTACCTTGTGAAGTTCGTAATTTTCCGACCTTGAACAGTTTCCAATTATCTCTTCTCTAAAAGCGCTGATAGACAAACTGAGTAAGAGCGCTTTATAAATATTCAAATTACTGGCTTTTTCCAGCAGTATTAGGAACAGCCATTGCTTTTGTTCTGATTTTTTTTTCTTTTTTCTTGCATATATTTTTTTCTATCTTTTTGCACTGTTTGTTCTGACCGAATCTTTGGTCACTTCCCATGCTTAGAATTTTTTTCCGTGCGTTGCCGAAGCATAGGCCATATTATATCAAAGATGTGCTTTCTAATGTTTAGTGTCAATCTATTGTGGGGTGTGCGTGTGAGGTCCAATTAAATTGATTTAATGTCAAATAGTCTACACCAGATTTTTCAAAAACCGGTCAGTTGATCTGAATAAAACTTACGGGAAAGTTTAATCAAGTTACAAGTAAGATGTTTTTATGTGACGATCTAGTGAAGGGTGTAAATTTGAGGGTCTTTTCAATTGTTGAGGATCCAGACCTAAATATCTCTTAAAAAAAAAAAAACCAATCGGTCTAAATGAAAACATTGTATAATACTTTGTAAATAGTCTTGTAAAAAAATGATTGCATTTTGTGTGACAATCCGCAGTATGATATGGATCTGAGGACCATTTAAAGGAAAACGTCCCAGACCACATATTTCGAAAACGTATCAACTGATCTGAATGAAACATTCGGAAAAAATTAATCAAGTCACAAGAAAGAAATTATGGGCTGGAGACGAATTAGTCAAGGGTGTAAATGGGAGGGTCAGTTTAACTTTTGAGGACCCAGAAGAAAATTGTTGATGTAGCAAAAACTAAGGGTATCTCCGTTAGCAGTGACAGGACAAAGAGCGACAGAGATAATTAAAGACAATTAAAAGACGAACTAAATCTTAGAATACGAAGGAGTGAACAAAACCTTATAAGAAAGAGTGGAAAATCGTGAGGAAGAGGTTTCGTGAAGAAAAGTAAAAACAAGCAAAATAAAGTTAGGAAATAAATAAGTAGTAATATTTATTTGTCGAGTTCAAAAAATTTTAAGTTCATGTACAAAAACTGCGATTCATTTTTAAATAAGAAAGCGGAGTTAGAGACCATTTTAGCAGATGACTTCGATTTTATTGCTCTAACTGAGATATTTCCAAAGTTTACGCAATCGGCGGTTTCACATCTTGAATTTAATCTTAATGGTTTCCAATTGTTTTTACCATCAGAAGATTTAGGTTCTGGTAGCAGAGTAAAGATCTATGTGAGAAATGGAATCTCTGCCAGTTTGGTTAATCTTGATAGTGGAAAATTTTAAGAATCAGTTTGGATTGAATGTTTCTTACAAGAAACAAAGCTTTTGCTTGGATGATTTTACAGAAGTCCTTCCAGTTCAGATTTTAATAATGGTAATCTTTATTCATTATTTAATCGAGCACTTAATCGTAATTTTACGCACCGAATTATTGTCGGTGATTTTAATTATAGAGATATAAAATGGGATTTGGGTTATGTTAGCAGCGAATGTGCTGGTAATGATCAGTTATTTGATTTGTTCCTTCACCAACATGTCCATGAACCCAAAAAATTTTGTGAGGGTCAAACTACAAGTACTTTAGATTTAATTTTTACCCTTGATGAGGGATCAGTTGTTGGACATCCTCCGCTTGGTAAGAGTGATCACTCGATTTTTACCTTTGACATGCCTGTTTCTTATTCAAATTTTGAGGAATCGCTTATTAGAAGCTATGTAAATGGGGGACTATAATAGAATGAGACAGTCGCTTGTAAAAATTGACTGGAATTTTGTGCTCAGTTCTCCTTTTGGATTAGAGTCTTGGATGTTTTTTGAACTACAATTGAAGAAATTTATTGAGTTTCAGAATCATATGAGAAATTAACGTGGTCGCAGTAAACCTCAGTGGATACACAAACAGTACCTCAAAGCAATTAATAAGAAAATTAAAAGTTGGAAGCGTTACACTAAGAGTAAGAGAACACAGAGACCGGACATTGGAGCAAAATGGGAACAATTCATTTGAGGATAGGAATTTTGCAACAAACTTAATTAAGAAAACTAAATCAACTTTTGAAAAATAAACTTGCAGACGAGATAGGATGTAATGAAATATGCTTTTGGAAGTATTTGAAAAGTCAAACTGACGTCCCTGATTTCATTGCTGTAAACGGAGTTCGCGCGTCTGATAACCAAGGAAAAGCTGGATTATTTAATGATTTTTTCAGTGGTGTTTTTGTGAATGAGGATCTGTCAGATATCCCTAATCTATTTGTTTCTGTTTTCTGCTGAT